CGGACAAAGACATTATTTATATTTAGGTCCAAAAATTTATAACTTGTTACCTCCCGATATTAAGGTGGAAACCAGGCTATTTGTATTTAAACAAAAAATAAAATATTATGTTCTTAATATGCCACGGGATGTTGTTCATGATATTATTGAACAATAAAAATGTAAAAAAAAATTATATATTATGTCTAAATAATTTTTTTTGTCTTAAAAATATTTTTATACAATTTATTTTACTATATTTATTTAAGAATGACCACTCACAAGTAGGCTTGACCTGCTTCGTGGTTTTTTTCTTGTTTATTTGTGCTTTGTATTTTTTAATATGTATCTTTTATATTTTCAAATAAACATTATTATTATTATTAACGCTTCTAATAGATAACTTGACTCTCTCTGCATTGAGACCCCAAGAATTCTAGCCTCTAGGAATTTTTTAATAATTTTAAGTATTAATAATAAACAAAAATTATAGACTATTGTGAGATATGCTGTCATATTATGATGAGTTGTAGAATATATAATGCTTTTAAATGATAACATAAATGTTTTTGCATTGAGACCCAAAGAGTTCTAGCCTCTAGCACTTTTTCAGTGATTTTAAGTATTAATAATAAACAAAAATTATGCACTCTAGTAAGATGCTGTTATATTGTGACGGGTTCTAGAATATTTAATGCTTCTAAATGATATAATAAATCTTTTTGCATTGAGATCAAAAGAGTTTTAGCCTCTAGCACTTTTTCAATAATTTAAAGTATTAATAATAAACAGAAATTATAGACTATGGTGGGATGATGGCACATTATGACGAGTTCTAGAATATATAATGCTTTTAAACGATAACTTGACCCATCTCTGCATTGAGACATAAATAGTTCTAGACTGTAGCACTTTTTGAATAATTCTAATAATAATAAACAAAAGTTATATACCATAGTGAGATGCTGTCACATTGTGACGAGTTCTGGAATATATAACGATTCTAAATGATAACTAGACTATCTTTGCATGGAATCGCTTAAGGTTCTAGCCTCTGGAAATTTTGAATAATTTTATGTATTAATAATAACAAACAGAAATTCATATTATATCATTTATTATATATTCTAGAAATCGTCATATACTTAAATTTGTAGAAGAAGTGCTAGAGTCAATATATCATTAATAAGTGTTATATATTCTAGAACGTGTCATAATGTACCAGAATGTCAGTATGGTCTATAAATTCTGTTTGTTATTAATACTTAAAATTATTGAAAAAGGCTATAACCCTTTGGTTTTCAATACAAAGAGAGACGAGTTATTATGAAGAAGCATTGTTTATTCTAGAACTCATCATAATATGACTGCATCTCATTATAGTCTATAATTTCTCTTTATTATTAATAGTTAAAAAAAATTAAGAGTGCTAGAGACTAGAACTCTTCAAAATTCCATGCCGACATAGTCTAGATATTATTAGGGAGTGTTAAATATTCTAGAACTTGTCATAATGTGCCAGCATCTCACTATGGTCTATAAATTCTGTTTATTAAAATTACTTAAAATTATTCAAAAAATGCTGGAGGCTAGAACTCTTAAGGATTCCATGCAGAAATAGTCTAGTTATAATTTAGAAGCGTTATATATTCTAGAAATCGTCATATAGAAATATTGTATAATCTAGAACTTGTTATAATGTGACAGCATCTCACTATCGTACCTAAAAAAGTGTAAGAGGCTATAACTCTTCGGGTATCAATGCAGAGAGAGTCATCATTTAGAATTTGTCATAATGTGTCAGCATCTCACTATGGTTTATAATTTCTGTTCATTATTAATGCATACAATTTTTGAAAAAGTGCTACAGGCTAGAACTCTTCGGGTCTTATTGTAGATGGAGTCAAGTTATCAATTAGAAGCATTATATGTTTTAGAATTCGACAAAATATGACGGCATCTCACTATAGTCTATAATTTCTGTTTATTATTATTACTTAAAATTATTCAAAAAGTGCCAGAGGCTACAAATCTTTAAGATTTCATGTACAGATAGTCTTGTTATCGTTTAGAAGCGTTATATATTTTAAAACTCGTCATAATGTGCCAGCATCTCACTATGGTCTATAATTTCTGTTTGTTGTTAATGCTCAAAAAGTGCTAGAGGCTAGAACTCTTTGGTTCTTAATGCAGAGAGAGTCAAGTTATCATTTAGAAGCATTGTATATTCTAGATCTCGTCATAATATGACAGCATCATACTAGAGTCTATAATTTCTCCTTATTATTACTTCAAAATTTCAAAAAAGTGCTAGAGGCTAGAACTCTTCGGGATTCAATGCAAAGATAATCTAATTATCAGTAAGAAGCGTTATATATTCTATAACTCGTTATAATGTGGCAGCATCTAACTAAGGTCTATATTTCTGTTTGTTGTTAATACATAAAATTATTGAAAAAGTTGTTATAATATAATAGAATTTATATGTATATTAAATATTTATAATTATTTTAAGTCGGCTAGAGCTATAAATGAAATAATTTAGCTATAAAAACTAAGAAGAACTCTAGAACTATTCGTAAACTATCGATTTACCGTCGGCTTTTTTTAATTTTATTTAATTTATTATATTGTGATACTAACTTCCGGCCGTTAGCATCTCATTTTTTAAATTGCAGTTTTCGGTACTAAATTCGACAGAACTAATAATAAAAAGTATCAGGAACTATAGAGCTATATCGGATGCCATAAGAACTCTGCTTAAAATGTGAGATGCTGAGATTTGGGATGCTAACTTCACACACGTTTATTATTGTCTCTACTCGGCGAAAGGCCAATGAGGGGTCAAGAAACGAATAAATGTCAAAAGAGTCGATTTTTTTTATTGGTCCTAGACAAGGGTAGTGAATTAGTGAATTTCATATTTTACTGTGATCTAAAACGAACTGTCAAATAAAATTCTTGACTTGTTGATGATAGGTTTTCCAAAATATTATTTTTTTTCTTGTTTTTGAAATCGATCTCTTGAGAATAACTTTATTTTTTTTTTTTAATTAGGATTGAATATTTTAGAAAATTGTTGATAGAATATTCAGATGCAGATTAGTATATAATAAAAATATGGTCTGTTTACATTTTTAAGGATATATTTTGTTATAGGTGCAGGTACCTACACAAGTAAAAGGTAATTAGTGGCTTGGACCCTTTTACCACACAATACTCTTTACTCTTTGTGAATGACAAGTGACAACTGGATCACACAGTGACTGGAATTATTCATATGAGTAATATCGATAATGTGACTTATTTATTGATAACCCATAGCTTATACGCTAAAGGGTAAATGAAGGCATTCGAAAGCTTACAGGCATATACATATTATGAGTCGGGATTTATTTTAAAAACTGAAACCAAAATTTTCATAACACTACATGCCAATACTTAAACTGTTTAATAATATTGTAGGTCCCCTTTAATTGTAATTTTTATATTTTTTAATTTAAACTATTCGTACCTACCTGTATATTATTTTTAAATAGATTTTTTAAAATATTTGTTGTGAAACTATTGTTAGCTCATTATGCTAAATTAAGATTATCTCTAATGTAGTAGATGGTGTTTTATATTTTAATTAACAATTTTTAAATGGTTTTAATATATTTCAGTAAATAAAATTTAGTAATATTAAAATTTAATTACATTTTAATCATTTTGTTAAGAAATTCCTCAATTTTTAGTTTTAAAAAATCAGTAATAAATTTGTAAGTTTTTTTTTAAGTAGAACATCAGAAAGCAATGTTGACCAATTTTTAATATGTACGGCACTGTACAGTAGGGTAATTCATTTCTGTCTTTTTTTTTTTTCGGTGCTCAAGCAAAATATTAATCTACATATAGAGAAAAAAATTCTCACCAAGTTTGAGCTCTTAATATCAATTTTAAGTACTTACTATTTAAATTTAAAGTTTTACCATTTAAAATGCATGTAAAAAAATATTTTTTAAATTTCTAATGCTTACCCACCTTTAACAATAATGCAAATCGGTTTGATGGATCATGCTCTTCGAAATTGCTTTAGTGTTTTGTGTAACTCGCACTGGATCACCAACTCATATTGTTATTTAAATTAATTTTTTCTATTGATTACCATTATATATTACACTAAGAACTTTTTAGAATTATTATGATTTCTTACTCATAATGAATATGATTTCGAAGAGCGTGAAATTTCCCACAAGGTCCATTAAACCGATTTGCAATATTGTAAAAGGTGGGTCAGCATTAGAAATTAAAAAAAAACATTTTTTTACATGCATTTTAAATGGTAAAACTTTAAATTTAAATATTGATATTGAGAGCTCAAACTTGGTGAGAATTTCTTTTTCTATATGTAGATTAATATTTTGCGTGAGCACCGAAAAAAATCTAAATTTTTCAGAAATGAATCACCGTACTACAGTTTTGTGAAAATATAAAATGTCAGAACTGTCATCAATGTCAATTATAAGCTGATGTTAATGCTAAAAAGTGATGTGTGAAACTAACTGCAATCTGACCAATCAGAAGTCTACAGAATTGCTAACTTAAATTTAAATCGCTCCTCCTGTTTATTAAACAGAGTATAGAAGGTATTCTAAAAACTAGAAAAATACATCAATAGAAAAATATATTTAATTTGAGAAATGTTTTTATGTCTATTAGCTGTTTTTCCAAAATTTTGCATTAAATAAAATGCTCTCGAATTAATAAATCAAAATCAAAAAGTTTAGAAAAGAAACTCCCAGCCCTTTACCCAGCTTTCAATTATATTTATCTTAATTTATTTTTCAGAATTCAAATTTTATTGTATTATCTAAATCTAAATTTTTTTAAATACCTTGTGCCTATTTAATATTAAAATTACTATTCCGGCAACGTAATTGATCTATTAACTGCAACATAATACATTATTATTTTATCATTCATCAAAATACAACTTACAAGCAGTTTTACAACAATAATAAATACTTAAGCACACTTACAATAAGAGGATTCATCTTCATAATCTGCCTTTAAGCATATGTCAGTCAATAAAAGAAAAAATACACATTGTCTCCAAAGCACATACTTATTTTATACCATTGTTTACTTCCCCACTTTGACATTCAAAAATGGGATTTGTTTTAAATTTATTACCACTTTAACACCTGTGCACATACCGCCTTGCCGGAAGTAGGTATTAGTCTTCCAGTTGTTTTATTGTATACAGAAGAAGAAAGTAGTAAGTATCTAATGTTTGGAGATTATAAGACAACAGAAAATTTGAATATTTGATGAACTTCGACACATAATTTCTTTTTTTTTGTCTAATTTAAATAAATTTCACTTTATTGAAAAAGGTCAGAATTCGAAGTTGAAGAGACATGGTCGTAACAATTGAAGAATAAAAATACTTAAAAAAAATTATGAAATAAAAGCTAAAATATTATTTATGTAACAGTTCTTTAATTCCCGCAGAAAAAATATTTTTAGATTACTTGTTCTTAAAAAAATAAGAAAATTATTTAGTTCTGCTTGACAGATCTTAGATAAGTATCCTTGGATTCAATTTCTTTACTATTCGTTTCTATTTCTTCCGGTCCAATGCTGGTTCTTCCTAATCGATTGTTCCCATCTCTGCTATATCCTGTTTGTCCTCTAGTAACCATTTCTTTCCCTTCTTCTTCACTTTCCACATTCACCTCCATCCAGTACCATTTTTAAAATTCTTTGCTCTGATATTCGAGCAATATGACTAACTGATCCTAGTCATGGTAACAACAATAACTTGATCCAACAAGCTAGTCGACAGCTAAAGATCTTCATGGAATTTGGTGAACAAACAAACTGCTATACAAAAAACAGCTTCGAAGAATATTATTCTGAATGTTGATGGTGTCTCTTGTTCTACTACTCCCAAGACCACCGATATTTTTGTTGTTTTTTTTGCTAACATTACTGACCACAAGTTGAAAGCTTATTTTGTTAGTTTAATTGCAACCAACTGCACTTTTACATATGGAAAATTTACCTAACACGACAAAAATAATACATAGGTTGGGCTAGGGCCCTCTAGGAAGACCTATGCTAACATACGGTGCAGTTGTCTGGGTACTGAACACCCAAAAATTAACAGCTATCCCCAGGTACGATTCATATCTACACCGACGGTCCTAAAATAAAACAAGGATCGGGATGTGGAATGTACTCCGGATCTTTAAACCTAAACATAAAATGGACTGTGTGTTCAAACAGAGCTCACGGTGATTCTCACAGCAGCAAAAGAAATCAGCAGAAACAATATCACTGGAAGAAACATGCTCATCCATATAGATAGCAGACAAGCACTACTTAGCCTGAACAGTTTACTCAGGGTTAGTACTAGAATGTCACGAAGCTTTGACCGAAGTGGTCACCTTAAGATGGATGAAAGGTCACGCCACATCAAAAGGTAACCGTCTTGCTGATTCACTGGCCAAGAAGGCAGCTAACCAAATACGTTTTGGACCTGGTACTTCTATTGGCCTAACAAAATCGGTAGTGACAGATAGGGATGGCAATGATATATCGATATGTTGTAAATACCCATATATTTCACAAATATATCGATATATTTTACTCAATATTTTACTACCGATATATAGAAGAAAATATCGATATATTCTTTTCAATATATCAAAAACATTATGAGTCCAAGTTCAATGCGTTGTCAATGACAAGTGACGGCGACTTTTCTGTAGTCTATTCTGTATCATGCAGTTGCTATAAAATATGTAACTAGTGGTTATAAAAGTGGATTTCGAGTGACAGAAGCAGTCAAATATTCTTGGTGCTTAAGCATAACAACTAGTTGCTAAGATACTGAGAAAGAAATATGGACCTTTGGATATTAAATATTTAAATATATCAAGAAATTAATAGGAGGCACGTTTATTGATAAGATAATCGGAACTTATCATTTTTTTTCTAGTGATTTGTTTTAGGAATAAAGTAAGACTTCACCAGAGCCTACTATTTATTGCTTGTAATCTGTATCTGTAAGGTGTGTTCCCCTTACATTAGTTAGACGTCAATAGCTTCATTGTGCATCCTCATGGCTTTCAGGTGAGATATCTATAAGGATGACTACCTTTCAGATCGTCAAAAGGCCTGCAGATCTACTTGAGATAAAATTGCATAATACATTTTGCTGTATTAAGTTTTTTTTTTTTTAATTTCAAGCCAGACCACCAACAAAATGTAACCATTTCCAAATAATAAAATTACACTTCACTTTACGTCCCGGCACTTCTGACTCGAAGATTAAGTTGTTAAAAGCCTGATCTACACCACACTTACAAGTTGTAATAATTTTATAGTAACCATATAACAACTTTGTCGTAGTTGTAAACTTTCATCGAGAAAATTTATTGTACAATTTTATTACAAGCAGACATGTTGACCTTTTGATGGTCTAAGAGGTGGTTCCTATAGACAGCTTTCAGTGATGTTATATATCAACCAGCAGACGTTATGGAGAGCTGCGAGGCAGGTCTTAAATTCCCCTGAAGGATGCACAATGGGCCTATTGAGGCATAAGTAACATGAAAGATCACCCCTTCTTACATATACAGATCGCAAGAAATAGTGTACCCTTTGCTGAAATCTTACATCATTCCTAAATTAAACCATTGGAGAAAATAATATATTTATTTAGTTTTGATATCTATTATTCTCTCAGTAAATATACCTTCCATTATTTTCTTGTTCAATTAAAATATTTATTATCCAGGGTCTTTAATATTTCTTTTTTAGCAACTAGTTGTTACACTTAACCAACAACAATATTTGGTTGCTTCCAAATAACTCTGAATCCACTTTTGTAATTACTAATAGTCACAGATTTTACTTAGAGAATTCTGATTTTCTTAAAGTGATAATACAACAACTGACCACGATCATAGCAACTTGGTCGGTAGCATAACTGTATGATACAGCATAGACTAATTTAGCGATCGTGAATACTAGAATAGCCACTTTTGTCAAAGTTGTTATATACAGTTGCTATGAAAGTGGTAAGATAGCAAGTGGTTAGAAAGTTGCCAGATAACAACTATAGTTACAGACCCCATAAAGGTAACACAGGGTTCCATTATTGCCCCCTGTTTTTACTAGTTTTATACTGTATTAGAACATAATATTTAGTGATGTATATTTTAGATACTACTTACGCAGACGATATATGGCATTGGGTCGTATCCTTCAGATGTTTTTATTAAAATTTAAAGTTTAATAATTTACAATCAAAGTTAAGCCAAGTTCAAATGGTATCACGAAAGAAACAATTTAGGTTTGAAACATTTCTTTCAAAAAATAAAGGTTTTATTGTTTTCTTTTCATTTATCTAAAGCATTTGCCAAACTCTATCCAGGACATTCAACTCTAGTTCAAATTCTATATCAAAAACAAAAGTATATAGAAAAATGTAAAACGAACATTTATGTGCATATAACTTTATTATGCGTAAATTCATTGTAGACCTAACTAATTATAAAATATTATAATGAACACATTAATGCGATAACTTTATTGAAATGATCAGGTAATAAAAATAAAATTAGCATTTTTGTGGAGTTTTTCGTTGTTCTTTTTAGTTATGTAAAAAAATCATTGTGCTCATTATTTTAATGCCGTTCAACAAAAAGCATTAAACAGCTATCACATCAAATTATACGTTCACATATTTAAATATTAATTTTACTAATAATTTTTTTTTTCAGTTAAATGTTTATAACTTTTGCAATTTTAGCAAGCGGCTCTTAATTTTTTCCAAAAAAGCATCTACAGGCTATTCCTAATCAAATGACCCCTCGTTCATATTTTTTGGAGGAGGAGAAAAATAGTTTGACCCAAAAAGTACTTGTTAACTAGACTAAAGTCCAAAAAAAGTTTAGTATGGTCGTCTGTACGGTTTTAATTTTTTAGAATTTCTTCAAACTTACAACCCTATTGATTTTCAGAATGTTCGGTCCTACTTATTAAATATCTATATTTTTAAAATATAATTCATTTCTTATGAAACTTATTTTATGTGCTCCAACACAGTAAAATCAGACTATATGGTTGGCTATGCTTGTGAATTGTAAAACCACAGATATTTTATTGTGGATATATTGGTGTCACTCTTAACTAAATGTCAAATTATTTACAAAAAATTTAACGTCTTTTAGAAAATGTTATATGAGTAGTTATTAAAGTGAAAGTGAAAATAAGTTTTAAGATATTAAATTAATGTGGATTTTACGAGAATAAAATACAGGAAGATGAATTGTTAACGATAATTTTTGTACAACCTTTAACGGACTATCTAAATTTGATATTAGGTTCAAAAAGGTACAAAGCTCAAATATTATTTTTATTTCATCGGACCTAAAGGATAAAGGACCCAAATATTTTTCTAGGTCAGCTTTACTCAAAGTGTGGTCCGCGGAGCCCCAGGGCTCCGCAAAGCCTTTGTGGGGGCTCCGTGAAGAAAGGAAGCAGGATATGATTTTGAGTGGAGGACCTTTTTTAGTCACTAAGAGGAAGGACGATATGATTTTGCTTGAAAGACTTTCTTTAGAAATCACTAAGAGAGGAATTAGGATATGATTTTGTTCGAAGGACCTTTTAAGTCACCAAGAGGAAGGAGTATATGATTTTGATTTTTTGTGGGGGCTCCACGAACAAGGGCAAAAGACCTGGCTCGAGGCCTGTTTTGTTGGAGTCACTAAGAGAAAGAACGATATGGACTTTTTTTTAGAAATGTATTTAGAGCTCCGTCAAATATTTCGCTTTTCAAAAAGGTTCCGTCGCCAAAAAAGTTTGAGAACCACTGCTCTAGATGGTTTAGCCAAGTATGAACAAAAGAATTTTGAAAGGTATCGTAACAGTATCCAGGGCCGTTGCAACCCGCTTGACCGCCGTCGTGCATATGTGAGCGCTTTTTCCTAAATTAGCGCACATATTTTATATGTACTATGTACATTCAAAAATAGGT